TTCAAATTGGTCCCTCATCAATCTAAAACAACACTCCGATCTCTACACTATAATTTCATGAAATTTAATATCCATTAATCACAATACATCTTTATCGGATCACTTTAATTGACTAATATCATTTAAATAATAGCACCACACATTTCAATATATAAAGTGTGGTCCCATATATGTTGAATTTATCCAACAAGAACCACTTCGAGTTTCTTCTCATTGACACTGGATGCAGCCAAGTCAACAGGAGTAAAACGGTGGCCGACCACCTCGATGCGGGGCTTAAGCTTGTAGTAGACCCAAGATCCATGGCCAACACCATGCGTTGCCACAAAATACTTTTGTTGCATTACCCCTCCCATCGTTTTTTTTTTCTCTGGAATTACTTCTACCTAATGGTATGATGTTTCCTATATTCTGCAAAGGTTCCAAGCTGAACAAATCTTTTGAATTATGGAAAAAAAATCCAAAATCTAGTTGCAGTTGCTCAACGAATAGTCTCGATCGATATTACGTACCAAATGAGCTGGACCTTATCAACAGTAGCAGGCACGAGGGCCACGATGAACAAATTATTAGAGCAACGACAAAGAAAAGAATTAGGGAATAGAGATTAAGGAAAAACGGTGCCCTGAAATCCATGAGAATAGGATTATGCCGAGCTGTTGTACACGTTCATAGCAGACCGGTGGGCAAGAGAGTGATGCAGAGAACTGATTTGCTGAAGAAAAGAATTTGGGAATGAATCGACAAGGAAGAAAGGAAAATAGAGTATAAAAAGTGTGAACCAATATTTGGGTAAAATGTGGAGGGAAGTATTTTGGGCTGCTAAATTCAGCGGGCATATCTTAATAAATGCTATTATATTATATTTGGACAAAAAATATTTTTATTTTATACCATTATCCATAAAAATGCTATATTTAAATGTTATAAAATGTTGTAGTGCTTTTTGTCACTTTGTGTCCTGATATTTCATTGAATACGGACTGCAAATTCAGAACCACACATTAGGAAACGTTTAACACCACAATTACTTTGCGAAATTGATGGCCACCTTCAATTATGGTCCTCACGTCTATTCAAGTCATTTGATAGAAACTGAGAAATATATAAATCTACAGGTTACTAAAATAGATCTCTTAGATTAAAGCTGAGAGTAGAGAACCAAGAGCAAAAGAATGGAGAAGAGTGGGAAACAGAAGCATTTTTTGCTGGTTCATGGAGCATGCCACGGTGCATGGTGTTGGTAAAGTGGTGACTCTTCTAAGGTCTAAAGGTCACCGAGTCACAGCCCTTGACATGGCAGCTGCAGGCGTTCATCCTAAGCGTTTGGAGGAACTGACCTCCTTCTCCGACTACTGCAACCCTTTGCTGGAATTTTTGGCGGCTTTGACGTCAGAGGAGAGGGTGATTCTGGTTGGCCATAGCCTTGGTGGACTTTGCATATCTCTTGCCATGGAAAGGTTCCATCAGAAAATTAAAGTTGCTGTTTTTGTCACATCCGTCATGCCTGGTCCTGATATTGACAGTCGTCCCATTCATCAAGAGGTGATGTCTTGCAAATCCTCTTCACTTTCTTTATTATTGAGAGAAAGCAGGAGTAAATTATTGACTGTTTGGCTGTAATGCATTGAATCTTGAACGCTAATATTACAATTCTTGGCTTATATACAGTTCCCCAAACAGCTGGATTACATGGATATCCAATTAACATTTGGAAATGGAGTGGACAAACCTCCCACCTCCCTCCTCTTTGGCCCCAAGATTTTATCTAGTCAGTTATATCAGTTGTCCCCTCCCGAGGTTAGAACACCAACAATTACTAAATTATGGTGCATTTGATTACTTGTGTGTATGTTTCATGCTTGATCTTTCAACATCACGAATCACTATCATGTCATAAACTTACAGAATAATCAACGTGCAAGAATAGACGTGACACGGCAGGGCTGGACACATATCTCATATTTCTTTAATTCTTTCCCATCATGTCCACGTATTGAATATAGAAGAAAATATGAAAAGAATTTTAAAAATGAATAAAATACATGATTAAAACATTATTGACCTATGACTGTAAGTCATAGCACATAGCACGCATTTATTTCTAATTATAATAAAATAAGTTCAACAATTCTTCTCTATAACTAGTGCTTATCCAAAAATAGATAACAATTATCAAATAACAAATTAACAACTTTATATTTATCCTTTGATTTGAATTTGACAATCTTTCACTCCGAGATTTTCTAGTCTTCTTATCGCTCCTTTGATCCTCATCATTTATATTTTATGAAGTTTCTAACATCCTCCTGCAAACTATGCTGGGGCTGAAAGCACAATTTGGTTCAAAAAAGTGAGTAATGATTTTTATCTTCATTCTTGCAAAAATATGTCACTTGTGTATAAAAGCATCTCAAGTGCTTCTCATACTGCATGCATTATGTCTAAGCCTATTGTGATGATCCAACCATGAATGAGAGGACTTTCACCGGGCAATGAGGGTTAATTTTGGTGTGAATTTCTTTTTTGATTTTGTATTGTTTGGATTTGATGGTATTTGGTGGGGACTATGTCTTCATTGGTGAAATGATCAACATGTTCTTGAACTTATTTGTCAATTTTGATATGAAATTTTTTGTTTCTGTTTTATTTGGATTTGGTGGGATGTATTTGATGGACGAGAATTAATGAGAGATAAGTGTAAAAAAGTTGTCAATGTTTACGAATGGCAAAGTGATAGTGGAAAAGAAGACGTGCCGAGTGCTCACAGTGGCTCTCATACCGAGAATAAAATATAATAAGAACTTAAAAATAAATAAAAGATATGATTAAAACATTATTGACCAATGACTATACATCATAAGCACTTAGCACACATTTATTCCTATTTATAATAAAATAAGCTCTACAAATCTCTATAGCTAGTGTTTGTCCAAAAAATTGATAAAAACTATCAAATAACAAATTAACAATTTTGTATTTATCATTTTGTTTGAATTTGACAATCTCATGACTCCAAGATTATTTGGTCTCCTTATTGCTCATTTGATCATCATCATTTTTGTTGCCAAGTTTATGGTGTTTCTAACAAATATGCTGTATTT